TCCACTAAGTAGTACTTTCATTTAAAATATGAATTGTTTTGGAAGATTTTGATAACATAGTGGAAATGTGTCTTTTGATGGTCTGACATATTTCAGGTGACTCTGTAGGAAGTGTCTCTGTGCTGATTTGCATGAGAGGCTTCTTAAAGGGAAGTGAAACAATGTGTGAGTGAGAGACTGATGGAGCAGAACCAACATCTGACAGAAACTCCTCAAAGGCTGCAGAGGTTCAACATGGACTCCAGGAGACTCTGCAACTTCTACACCATAGAGAGCATCCTGACCTTCTACAGGTGCACCATAGAGAGGATCCTGACCTTCTACAGGTGCACCATAGAGAGGGTCCTGACCTTCTACAGGTGCACCATAGAGAGTATCCTGACCTTCTACAGGTGCACCATAGAGAGGGTCCTGACCTTCTACAGGTGCACCATAGAGAGGGTCCTGACCTTCTACAGGTGCACCATAGAGAGCATCCTGACCTCCTACAGGTGCACCATAGAGAGCATCCTGACCTCCTACAGGTGCTCCATAGAGAGTATCCTGACCTCCTACAGGTGCTCCATAGAGAGGATCCTGACCTTCTACAGGTGCACCATAGAGAGTATCCTGACCTCCTACAGGTGCTCCATAGAGAGGATCCTGACCTTCTACAGGAGCTCCATATATTTTTGTTTTTTGGGTGATGGGAGACACATCTATGGATTCAGAATTTCAATAGCTTACCATTAAATGACGAATATACCTTTCTGTCTGTTTTACAAATCAGATATTAATGTGTAGAAGTAAAACATGAGAAATAGTATAGCAATATGCTGTAAAATTATGTGAAAACATGAATAAAACTACACATCTTCAGATGTTATACATACATAGTGTCCTACACTAATAATAAAAAGTTAGTATGGCTGTGTGTGCCTTGTGTGCACCGCTTAGTGGTTAAAGCACGTTATTGAATTATTGTTTTAATATGTTATATTTGATGAAAAAAATATTAAGAGTACATACTTTCATAGGGGGAAAGTAGAAGGTCAATGATAGAAATATAGAATATAGAAAATCAAGAAGATACTGTAAGTGATCTCTAGAATAAAACAGTTTAGTGCCGGATGTAAGATATTAATATGAGGATGTGCACAACAGAAAAACGAATTAACCTTTATTTAAATAATGCTTTAGGTTAAGGTCTTCTTTTAAATAAGAAAACATCTTTGGGGGTATCTACAGATAAATATGAAGACTGACAAAGTACTTAACGTCTAATATATTGCTTTCCTGCAATGTTAACTATGTTGAAGCACTTATTTTAACTGATATTATACACATTAATTATACTCTTATGTATGTAGATAGTATAAGACATGTGCAGAATTTGAGTTTAATGGTGGAGGTACACACATATTGATAGATGTCTTGTAATGCACTGTTGAGGAACCTGCGACCCAAGTTTTTCATTCATTGCATAACTACACCGTAGTTGTGTATATGATATGTCAATAAACCTTCGAAAATCTTGAAATCTTGAAAGGGATGTACAAAATAGCCATTATATACAGTTTTTAATTAACTATTAGGAGAGAATAACGAGTAATGAATATACTTTATAGGGATCTGCAGATAAATGTTTAGTCTTCTCAAGCACCAACTATCTAATATCTCTCCTGATTGTTGGCACTTGACAATCACCTTACCCTGAATTTTACTCAGGTGTAACTAAAATCTGATTTAAGGGTTGTTTATATTTCACATCATTAATCAGAATCTGCAAAGTAACTAAAATAAATGTAGTGGAGTAAAAATACCAGGTTAACCTTAAAGAAAGCCTTCAGGATTATAAAAGACCCCCATCACCCCAGCCACAAACTGTTCTGTCTGCTGCCGTGTGGCAGGCGGTACCGCAGCATCGGTAGGACACGTTCGATTCCTGTTTTGAACAGTGTGCCGTCGATGGGTTTCATTCCATTTCAAACTGCTGTTTGACGCTCGGTGTAAACTTCGCGCACTGCCACTCCAACATCCAATCACAGAGCTTGAAGACTAATCACGGGGTTTGTCAAGCAAAGCACATGGTGTAGTCCCAAACTATAGCTGAGGATTCTGGGTAGTGTAGTGTCTTCTGCCATCCTAAACTCCGAAAAAATATTTGTTTCTCCGAATCGAAGGGGGAAAATACAAAAGTATTGTACACAATTCAAACCAATCAATGTTGTGTAATTAACAAGGATAATCTGGTGTTTTTGAGTTGATGAGTAGTGCAGATATCACTATAAAATCAATCGACAGTAAAGAGAATACTTACTTCCGGGTGTAAAATCCTCCGTTATCCAATGGGAATGGACGCTCACATTGCCTTTGAGACTGTGTTGAAATTACAGCCTCGCCTACTGATTTTAATTTAACCATATGTCGAGCCCGATCGTCGATTTCAAATGTGTGCTCCAAAATGATATTTATAAATGACTATTATCATTAGACAATAAGACAATAAATGGCAAAGATATGTAGAAAATAACCGTATTTGAGATACGTTCATAACAAACGTAATGTGGGAGAAAATACGTTTCTAGCTAAACGTAATTGAGAATGCTGTTTAGTTCTGTGGGAACGTAATTTTTAGGAGACAGGGTTGTGTACCGTGAACGTTCCCCCTGATCTGGTTCTTCTTGTCAAGGTTCTTGCCCATGTTTCTTGTCTGTGTTTGTTACCTGTCGATTTGCTCCTTGTTTTTTCTGTTTGTCCCTTGTTTTTTTTTCCTTTTTTAAGCTGGATTTTGGAACCAGCTATAATTGTATTAAAGGTCACCTATTATGCAAAATCTTCTTCTTCCTGTCTCTTCTACATCAACATGTGTCCCCTCTTCTTCATGTCTCTTCTACATCAACATGTGTCCCCTCTTCTTCATGTCTCTTCTACATCAACATGTGTGCCCTCTTCTTCATGTCTCTTCTACATCAACATGTGTCCCCTCTTCTTCATGTCTCTTCTACATCAACATGTGTCCCCTCTTCTTCATGTCTCTTCTACATCAACATGTGTCCCCTCTTCTTCATGTCTCTTCTACATCAACATGTGTCCCCTCTTCTTCATGTCTCTTCTACATCAACATGTGTCCCCTCTTCTTCATGTCTCTTCTACATCAACATGTGTCCCCTCTTCTTCATGTCTCTTCTACATCAACATGTGTCCCCTCTTCTTCATGTCTCTTCTTCATCAACATGTGTCCCCTCTGTGTAAAGAGACTCTAAAAGTTTCAGGAACAAAGATTCTCTCTCTTTTTGTCCTGATCCATTTCTATAAAAACCTGTCTGAAAATGAACTGATCAGATTGTGGCCACTTTATGATGTCATAACGATTTTAACCATTAGCCAATCACCAACCAAGGCTCCTCCTAGAGCACCATTGAGTTCTTTGTAACCAAATCTCTCTCAGAGGGGCGTGGGGAGGGGCTCCTTATTTTCATCTAAAGTAACAGACAGAGAATCAGCACTTTGGAAACAGGGCTGAAACAGAGGGGATTCTGGGATGCTGCAATGATTTGTTTGGTATTACGAGCCAACACCCCCCCCCCCCTCCGCGGATCTGAAATTACGAAAGTGAAATGATGGAGCTATTAATAATCATTTCAATTTTTATAGCGCCTTTCAAGAAACCCAAGGACGCTTTACAATGGGAAACAAAACAACAAAATAATAATCACACAGATACACAGGTTGAAAAAGAACAGGTTGAAAAAGAACAGGTTGCTGGGTATTACATTTTACCTGAGGCCAAAGGCCTGAGTGAACAGATGGTGTTTGAGTTGTTTTTTGAAAGTGTCGGCATTCCTGATATCAGAGGGGAGAGAACTCCAGAGGGTGGGGGCTGCGACACTGAAGGCTCTGTTTCCAAAGAATTTCAGCTTGGAGCGCTGGATGGAGAGCCGGTGTGTGTGTTTATTTCATAAACTGTTTGTGGCGTAGGCTGTGGCTGCCGCTGCAATGGGACTTTGTTTCTACACCTGTGTTTGCGACCATGTGTTTTTATTCTGCTGTTTAAGTGGGAGTGTGTCCTTATTCATGTAGCCTCATGCTTAGTGTACTCTGGTTGATTCTACTCACTCCTCTCAGGAATGCATATTTTGATCATTTATGAACAGTTGTAGGCCCCAGGCCTTCACAAAATGAACAGATCTAAAGAAAATATATACACATGGTTCCATTGCCAGTTATCAGCACCTCATCACAACCCTGGGTGTGCATTAAAATGTAAGGGTTTTATATATAAGTACCTTTACTTTTGCTTGTAGATGCGACACTCTTTGATTTAAGTTGTGAAGAGTTTCATCTCCACTTTTAGATATGTGTTTTGCTATTTCAAATAAAGGGCAGTACAATTAAACCTGGAGCAGACTGAGAAGACTTGGCTTGTTATTGTATGTAATAATGGTTTACTTATACACATGCAAATATGTAAATACATTAGTACTGGCCCTCCCCCCCCCTCCCCCCACCTTTATACAGGTTCCTTTAGTAGTGACCATATAGAAGGAAAACAGCACTGAAGTAATGTATGCATTTAACATTAACATTACAAAAAGGCAATTCAATTGGTAATAGTAAGTTGCTCAAAACATGAAATAACATCGACTTGGTGTTGGCTTTTGTGAAAAGAACATATCGTATTCTGAGGCCGTTATAACCTTACGGGGAGAACTTCATCCTTCACTTCTCTAAAAACTTGAATGTGTACAAAACAAACTGACATTACATAAGAAAAAATGATTATTCTAGGAAAGCATGTCAGTCCTTGTCAGCGTGGTCAAATATTTTACCCTGAGGCATAACTGTACGCTTGCAAACTGTGCATCAGTGAGCAGACACACCTTAAAGAAAAACGCAATCATGTGACAGGTGCAGTTGTGATAGTCAACAGGGGGTGGGGGCTTGACAAAGGTGTGTCTCTGATAGAAGAGATTTAAGGCTTGTGGCTTCGTCCTCAGTGTGATTCCCGTGAACAGCTGCTGTCGGCTCAACTTGGCTGCAGTCATGGCTCGCCTCTCCTTCTCAGAAGTGGGCCTGCTGCTCCTGTTAGTGCTGGCTTTGGTGAGTATTCAATCTACTCTATCAAGTGACTTTAACATCGACACACTGGGGCATGCTGCAGGGCAGGGGTTTATTTTTTAAGTGGTCTAATTTGCAATTATTTAAAATGCAATTACTGATAATAATGGGTTTAATTTATAAAGCACTTAATATTTGACTTAAAATCCCGAAGTGCTACAAGCAGTGAGCATGAACAGTTTAAAAATAGTACACAACACGGTAGAATGAATAAAAAGCAATAAAAAACAATAAAAATAAAAATAAAATAAAATAAAAGGGTGGTAATAAATAAAAGGTCTAGGGAAAGGCTCTATTGAAAAGATGGGGTTTGAGGCCTTTTTTAAAAGCTGTCTGTCGGGTGAGGAGTTCCTTGAGGTAGGGAGGGGCAGTTCCATGGATACACTTGGGTGAGGACGGAGACCTTGAATTCGATCCTCAGTTCCCCGGGGAGCCAGTGTAGTGCTTTACTAATGATTCCAAAGCACACTTAGAAAACATATGATTCATGCTTACACTGTTATTGTTATTACTATATTAAGCAGCATGCTCGTGTTATTAAGCAGCATGCTCGTGTTATTAAGCAGCATGCTCGTGTTATTAAGCAGCATGCTCGTGTTATTAAGCAGCATGCTCGTGTTATTAAGCAGCATGCTCGTGTTATTAAGCAGCATGCTCGTGTTATTAAGCAGCATGCTCGTGTACAGTATGCCAGGTTTTGACCGACAAACATTGATCATGATTTGACAGACAATAGTAAACATAAAAAGGAATGTTTTTTTTACCCTATTTTGGCATTTCATAATATGTGTGATGTCATGAAGATGACACATGAGGGTACATGGTGTTCCCAGCCCTCCATATAGTTGTGTCTAACACAATGGACACAAATGAATCAAAGAAAAGCAAACCAAAAAAAGATGTTTGTGTAGGCTGGCTTCAGTTCATGGGTGGTTCTAGGGGTAACACTGACCTTGGACCCCTCTTAAGAAGTACAATATAAGAGAAGCAGAAGTTTCAGGTGTGGGCCATCATTCATTATACTTTTAGAATTTGCTGCGGGCCAATTCAAAATGGACTCCGGGCCGTAGTTTGGACACCCCTGCCTTATAATGTTGACATCTTGAACACTGTCTTCGTCTCTGTTTACCCGCATTTAATGTGCCACTGTCATAAATAAATGACCCCACCACTGCCCCCCCTCCCCAGTAAAATTGGTCCACTGCTTCAGTTGTGTTACGTGTGCTTTGAATACCATGTTCGTCAGTGCAAGTATCATCAGTATTACCTTTATGTGCATGTTGTGTTTAAAGTTGAATTCATTCTAACGTTGATGGATGTCTTTGTCACTTTGTCTTGTAACATGATGTCACTTGTTCGTTACCACCTGGAAATGTTGGCATGGCTGTTTTTTGACACACTAAATCAGAAGTTGATTTGTATGTTGTTTGTCAGGAAAAATGTTTGACATAACATGAGAGCTCCAATAACCCACACAAACACTCACAACCAAAAACACACACTTTATTTATCTATAGGGCGCCATTTGTACATAAAACCAACACATGAACATCGAAGGGCACAGCACAGTAAAAGATGGAAGAAAGAATTATATATATTCGATTAAGAATAAGAGGATAAAGGGAGTCCATTGGAGCTTTGAACACAACTTAAAATAACTTGAAATCTGGTGCTTTCTTTGTGGCCTTGCTCTGTAGACATGCCGCTGCAAATCTAAATGATTTATTGCTTTTTTTCTTGAGTAAAAAAATGTATGAACATTCCACTAAACCAGCCTGCTAGTAACAAAGACAGGTATAATTATCTCAATATCTCTTTCAGAGAGAATTGGTTGAACTGTAGCAAATACAATTTCTAAGCTGGTATAAATGTGGCATTAATGTTGTGTTGATTCAAAATTCCGATCTGGATCTAGAGGCATGCTTAGACTCTTTGTTTGGGGCTTGGCCACGGACTTTTAGTTATTCAACTCGTCTCTGTTTCTCTCTCATTTTTTTTAACCTTTCTCTGAATTACAGCAGATGTTTTTATTTGCTTAATGTGCATTGAACCAGTTTATTGATAGGGTTGATATCATTTGGTCTTAGGGAGATGAACAGTTGTGTATTCTCAGCATAGCTATAGAAATAATTGTGTGTTCTCTGATGATATTTTCCAGTGCGACATATAGAAAGTGAACTGAACACAGGAGCCACTGCCTCAAAACCCTGATTTCCTTTTCCCACACATTCATGCTGTGGCTGATCAACTATATTGATCTGTGCTGTAGTCATTAAAGCCCTCACATCACCTTTGTTCTTAATAATTAGCTCCCAATAGTGGTTCATGTTTAAATTCAAGCTTCTTAAATGTAGTTGGTGCTATAGCGTTGAAATATATATATATTTTAGCAGCTTTTTATTGGAGCTCTTGTCTAAATTCTAAAGAGGAAGGAAGGATCACTCATAAGACTAAAGTCATATATAATCATACTGCCCTTGTTTCACACCTTGATTTTGCTGACTGTGTGATGAGTTTGACAATGTTATTTCATATTTGTATATTGGCAGAAAATTAAACATTCAAAAGCAAATTAAATAGTTATGTGTGGTTTCCTTTCAGGTGCTCAGTGCCGAGTCAGGACGGAGAAGGAAAAAGACCCTGAGGAGGAAGAAGAGGGAGTGGATCATTCCTCCTACCAAGCTCATGGAAAACACTGACTACCGACACAAGAAATTCATTGCCAAGGTTTGATCCAAATATTATTTCACACAATTTGCATACACAGTCATTATAATGTGTAGACTGGATGAGCTTCAATGTTAAAAAAGTAAATAAAAAAACTTGTTTCTGTCACCACTTTGCCTGCAGTGAGCCAACCTGTTTAAACTGGTTTCAGTCCTCAGCTATGCTGCTATGCTATAGGGTAGGGAACATAGTGTACCAGTAACAGAAGCCACGCCTGCATTGGTCATTTATGAGTACAAATATGGGTGTACCCCAAGCAAACCTGTTATTAACTTTTATTTGTGCAGAGTGATAAATATGTATTGCTATAAATTAGTGCTTGGCAACGATTACCATTTTTAATCGTGATTAATCGAATGATTTTCTTCGATTAATGCGCAAAATTCAATAATGAATTCAAAACCAGTGTATTGCGCACTTTTATTTTAAAAGCACTGCTATAACAAAAGTGCAATAGCATTTGGTTTGCAAACACTTTAAACAGTATGTAAACACAGTAGCAGTTAAAAATATTTCTTGTAAATCTCTACTTCAACATGAATTAATGTAATCAAATCAAATATAAAACCAAAGCTATGTGCCACTTAACATTTTATCTAGTTAAAGAAAAACAAGTTACCCTCAGAGTCCAGTGAGAAGAAAATTAAACTTTGCAGTGGTTACAAATGACTCTGGTTCTATCAACTCCGACGTCTGGAAGAGATGTCCAATGTCCATGTTTCTGTCCTGCCACTTTTCTTCTGTTTCGGTCATGTGAGCGCTGCAGCAGTCTTAGGCCCGCCCCAAATGCTCTCATTGGTTGAGACACGTAATGACGCCCATCCTAAGCCAATAGAGTGGCGAAGTCACGCCCATCTACTTCCGGTCCATGGGACCTTATTTCGGAAAAATTATGCATTGAAGTCAATGGAGAGAGAAAACGTATCTTTCGATCCCGTTTGAATTGTGCCATGAATTACACATATGATGTTTGTCAATCTTAAAAAATCATTTCCATGTCAAAAAAGTCACAGTTTGTCGTAAAACTGTTGAAATATAAGACTATGAAAAATACGCAACTAGAAAGACTACAAATCCCAGAGTCGCGTAAGTGATGTCACAATTGTTTTCCTCCACTAATGGCGCATTTCCACTACACGGCCTCGCTCAGCCTCGCTCGGTATGGCTAGGCCTCGTTAGGACTGGCTCACTTTATGGCGCATTTCCATTACAGTTTAGGAACTGGGGTAGTATCTATAGTAACGCAGTGTAGGCAGAGCCGTGACGTCATCTTCAATGAGAACCCCAGAAAAACAACACAGCCGTTAGCTGTTAGCACTCAGAGCTCACAGCTCATCATATATGTTCAGAAACTAGACAAAAGTTAAACCAGTACAAACCACAGACTGCCTGTGTCATGGTGAATACAGTCGCTGCTTTATTTATGTCTGTATAGGCCGTTGTTGTGAGTGTGGACGGTCGGAGCATATACTGCGTTAGCTTAGCCAATCTCCATTTAGACAACACGCATTTTAAAAGGTTCTTTCGCCTGCCGTCTGTCTGCAGACTTGACAAAGCATTAATTCATGGTTTTTACTAACCGGTATCAGTATGTTGTTACTTCGGCATCATTTTGAAACGTGTATTACAATTAAATCACGGTCAAATATGTCCATCTTGTTGTAGTTGTAGCCCCCTTGCCAGCGATTCTCTCTCTAGTTTAGCATACTCAGCCCGACTCAGCCTCGTTGTCTCTGGCCCTAGACCCACGATTTTATGAGGCCAGAAAAACTGTGAATTAGGACCCCGCCGGCCGGTACTAGGCCAAGTGGAAACGCAACTAAAAACGGGCCGCTGACATCACAGCCCTCTTAAACCGTGCTCCGCGCTGTAGTGGAAACGCGCCATTAGAGATAGCTTAGTGGAGCGCCATATAGATATAATCTATCTATATGGTGCTGGCTAAGATAAGATAACTTTAACAAGATGCCTGTGTGCTTAGTACCAGGTTGTTATCATACCAGCAATGGGTCTTGCTCGTTCTTTCGCTTCCCGTCTGATGAAAGGACCAGGAGTGTCTGGATCAAGCTAGCTAGTAGCTAGCACGTTAGTTAGCATTACAGCCTTGTCATCTTTATTAGCCTTAACATGAAGTAACATTAAGTAACCCAAAATGTTAAACAGCAAGAGTAGTAGTCATTTTTCGTGAACCCTTTGAAGAGTACTGTCACACCGGTGTGATCATTCTATAATACACAATTTAAGCCCGGGGGAGAAATGCTAACGCTAACGCCACATTAGCATCGGCGATCTTTTGCATTTCATGCTATCTGCACAAATGGTTGACATTAAACATTAAACATTAAAAAGACCAGGCAGTTCAGAGAGAATCAAAGGAAGACAGGCAGGCAGGCAGCTTTGCATGACATTCATAGTGAGGGTAGTCAATCCTTTTTTTGACAAGACAGCAGTGACGGCCATCTTGGTGACGTGTGTTTTTGTGCGAGACCGGAGATGTAGTTCATTGAGCGTTTCACACAAACAAATGTGTTATTTCACAGTTTTACGACATTTTTTTTTTTTTTCTGATTTGCAAAATTATCTTTTAACGGTGGGCTCGAGATCGCTAGAATTTGAAAATACACAACCGGAGAAAATCTGCCACTTCCTTACAGAGCCCCTCCTCCAACACACACGAACGCGCACATGACCAATGAGAGCACGAGATAAGTTTGTGCACAGATGGAAGGCTGACAGGCAGGTAGGCCATCCAGTTATTTTAGCCGGGCCGGCTAAAATTATTGGTCGTGCTTTTTACAGTACTACAGCTTCCACAGATGACATTTTTTTATGGATTTTTTGTCAAAGCACTTCAGATATTCATTGCTATCGGGATGTTAAGAGCATTCCATGGAATATAACAAAAAGTGTATCTCGAGCCGGTTTCTCAAACTTACCTACCCCACCTTCAAATTGACAAACATCATATGTGTAATTCGTGGCACAATTCAAACGGGATCGAAAGATAATCTTTCTCTCTCCATTGACTTCAATACATAATTTCTCCGAAATAAGGTCCCATGGAGGTCCACCGGAAGGGGAGGGACTTCGCCACTCTATACTGATCAACATCCCACCCCTCCTGTTTGTCTGTATGTGTATTCAGAGCCAGTGAGCAACAGAATTTTAAAATAATAATATTAATTAAAAAAACTTTAATGATCAGCCTTAATTAATTAATTTGTAACTGTCAAAAACCAAAGTGGCTTAGGTTGAATGTCCTGCAACACTAATAGTGGACTGAACTTTGAGGTTTTGTTACAGTTTCAATCAACTCACTTTGTATTACTGTAGTTACATTACACTGGATATGGATGTTATCGTCCTGAATAAAATATTGAAAGATTCTTAATAGAACTCTGGTTTGAAAGCTTGGGTTGGCGTCTCCTTCATAGGTGCTATTGGTTCAACAATAGCCAAAACAAGCGTTTGAATTGAACATTTAAATAGCAATTATTATAACATTGTTAAAGAAGCCCTATTATGCAAATGTGAAGGTTCATTTTTGTATTTTGTTCCTCTATTGTGACATGACAAAAGGTCTTTATTTATTCTAATGGAGGCGTTTCAGGCAGATGGGGACATTTGGGGGAGAGAAACTCCCTCTAGAGGGAACTTCGGGATGTTAGCCTATGTAGACCATTTACCAGAGGTGGGGGACTCGAGTCACATGACTTGACTCGAGTCAGACTCGAGTCGCATATTTTTGGACTTGAGACTTGCCACCACAGTGACTTGGGACTTGCTTGAGACTTGTAGGTTAAGACTTGAGACTTGCTCATGACTTGCACATGTAGGACTTACTCCCACCTCTGCCATTCACAAAAACCTATATAACACACTACAGGAGAGGAAAACCTGAATAGCAAGTCCATGATTCCTCTGTTTGTGTTTTGTTGTCAGATACGCTCTGATAAAAACTTAGGTGAGTCGGTGGATTATTTTCTCACTGGACAAGGAGCTGACAAGGAACCCATCAATCTCTTTGTAGTGGACCGAAATACTGGGTTTGTACGCATCACTGAATTACTGGACCGGGAGAAACACCAATTCTACAATGTAAGTCTTTCTTTAAAGTTCTACTGTCCTGAAACCTGACGAAGACTGGTGGGAGAATAAAGCTCACGTTCCTTCAGTCACAGAGCTTTACTGAATGTCACTAGCCTACCCTTGTGCATATATTGTTTTGGACTTTTGTTTCAGATCAGATCAAAAGAGGTTAATTGTCATTATACTTGAGATACTATAGATGAGATGTGGTAGGCTTCTCTATGCATTTAAAAATAACAACTAATACATGTAAGCAGGGATTAAAACAGTGATTAGAAACCGTTATAGCAGCAAAAGAGAATACAAATAAAGAAGGCACTAGTAACGCCCAAATATTTCAGATGATTGTCAACGTTTTGTGCAAGCAGTTTGTAATGTTAACGAAGCTTCAAATAAATGTAGTAATGAACCTGTATGTAAAGTTTAAACAAGGAAGTTACCTGGCTTAAATTCCCACAGACCTTAAGAAACGCATTTGTGACAACCAAGCGCCATAGGGATGAAATATGCTTCCGCATAACAGTTTAGTTTAATAGGTATGTATTTTAAGAGACCAGGCTTGGCACAAACACAAAACAGCAGCAATAAGAAAGTGCAGATGTGACAGCTGTGACATCCACAGTCAGGCAATGGATGAAAGTTAATTTTCTTTCTTCTGAACAAACCTGCTAAAAAATGCTGCGAGAACACGCAGGGAAGCTCCGAAAAAAAATCTAGTGAACCAACATTGAATTGAGGTTTGGGTGTCTGTATTCTATCTTCAAAGATCAATAGTAAAGTGTTTCTTCATGTAACTCATGCAGCTAACAGGGGGTCGCAAGGTTCAAAGACGGGATGAAAGCAGAGAATGATGTCCCACTGACAGTCGTGGTTCTGGGACCAAAATGACAACCCTCCTTATTTTGAGCTGCAAATCGGGCAACATCACAGAGGAAAAGCAAACCAGGTAGTGTCACATTGTTGAACACATATCAGCCTGCTGCTGTGAGAGAATGATGGAAACAGTCAGAACTCAGAAATATGTTACTGTTTATTTCTGCTGTCAATCAAATGTGACCAAAACACAGTCCACATCAGAGTTGGGTAAAAGTACTCACATACTTTACGTTTAAAGTGGACCTATCATGCTATATTTGAATAATATATTGTAGGGCCATACCTATATAAAACATGTCTGTGAAGTTTCTTTTTCCAAATACCAAACAGATCATGCATTTTAGCCATGCCTCATTTCGCTCTATTTTGCTCTCCTCCAGCCTGTCTTTGCATGAGCTGCAGCTGACCACGCCCCCCTGCAAAGGAGGGGGCCGAGTTACGAGCGTCATGTTACCATGCTGTTACCATGCCACAGCAACCTCTCATTCCCCTGATAGGTGGAGAGTTGGCCATATAGGCGGAGCTCCTCGTTCCTGACGTCAGAGAAATTTCAAATCTGGATCAGTTTTGATCAGATCCGTTGCAGCCCCGTTTTTAGAGATTTGGGTATGGAGGAAAATAGAGAGGGTTGTGTTTTCTGACACTTGGTGAGTTCCCTGGAACACCGGGGACACATATTCATGTATAAAAGACGTACAAAAGTGCATTTTGCATGATAGGTCCCCTTTAAGTTAAATCAGTAAAGCAACATTAAAAACAATAAAAGTCCTTTATTTAAAATGTAATTAAAATAAAAAAGGATGAAAATATAAATGCACTAAAAGTGATAAAAGTAAAAGTACTTATTTTTCCTAATAGCCCATAACTACAGTAACCAACAGGGGTCAACGCGTAACAATGGCCTTACATTATGTAGAAGACACTTCAGCTTTAAAAATTCCGCAAAGTTCAAAACTCAACGGAAACTAAAAAGTGTTGCACGCGGCTGGGATCGAAAGCGCTTGTTGATGGATCGGAGATTATAAATTCGGCAATAAAATGGTTAATTTTATCGGCATATTTTAACATGTGATTGTAATGGCATGATTCCTTCCGATAATATTGCAGATCTGCTGTAAACTAGCTAACGTAGCTAACGTAGCCATATATTATGATTATACTGACCAAAGCACACAATTATGAAACAGGCTTACTCTGCCAGTCACTAGCTGTGAAACAGATTCTCTGAAATGTTATGGTTTGTGCTGTTTGCTGCAGGAAAGCGTTGTGATGCAGATCAAGGGGGAAAGATAAGGACCAACCTGGAACAATTAACAGTGAGATCAGCTACAGGATCGTGAGTCAGGAGCCCGCAGGCACCGGTCAAATGTTCACTCTAGACAGGGAAAGTACGGGCCAACTGTACGTCAAAGAGAAAACCTGGACAGAGAGGTGAGGCTTTCTGGTCATTGTATATCAAACACATCTCACATATGTTGGCAAGCACCTTTCAAAAGAATAATACTTAATACAGAGTGGCTGCAAGGTGGTGCGGCCTTCTTTCAATTGGAAGGTTGTGGGTTGATCCAGCCCTTGCACTCAACATGCGATGTATCCTATCCCAAGATACTTTGACCCCAAGTTGCTCCCAACGGCAAGGCCATGTTGTGTGAATTGTGTGTGAATGTTTGCTTACCTACTCTCTGTATGATTAAATTGGGTGAAAGATGACTTGAAGAATTTAAAGCGCTTTAGAGGGGTCGATGAAGTGAAATATAAATACAGTCCATTTACCATTTACCATAAAAGAGTTTGCAGAGGCCCTAAATCTCCTCAGGCAGGTTGTTCCTAAAGCCAGGAGCCCTTACAGCTAAGGCTCTATGATCTCCTTTGCGGTTTTCAATCTGTACCTTAGAACAACCCTGCAATAGACGCATCTCTAGGATCTCAGGTTGTGGGAGTGGACATAGGGGCAATAAGAGGTCTGATGAATAACTCCAGCTATGCTCTCAGGGCTTTTGAAAGGAAGCCAGGATTCGTGTGATGTGGTCGTTTTTTCCAACCTGAGTTAAATTCAAAGCAGAGTTTTGATTAAGCTGAAAACGGGAGAAGGATTTTTTAACTGTATGCAGGGAGGAGAGAGTCATTTGGCTGGAACAAACTGTTCCCAAACTTTTATGGAGTAAGAAATAGTCTGAGCTTGTCTAGGGTGAGGTTTTGGTCGAATATCAAGACTTTTGCAGTGCTGAGCGATGGCTGCTTGGGACAGAGAACCTATATGATGACCTACTAATCTTTTAGCTGCAGATGTCTAGAAGGCATTTTAGCAACTGTGCTTTGATAGTTTCAGGATCCCAGGGTTTTACATAATTTGAATTAAGGCGGGATGAAATACTTTCAGTTGAGACAAGATGTTCTTTGAAATTCAATCAAGGAACAATATATACTATTAGGCAGCACTGTTTTTGCCCTGAAGGTCTGACTCACCCTGCACAGTATGATCACATGTCATCAGATATCAGAAGAATGTGCCTGTTTTCCCTCAACAGACTATGACTTCTACAAACTGGTCATAGAGGGGACTGATATGGGAGGGGGATCCAGCGGCCTAGTAGGGACAGGAACAGTGGAGGTCAAAGTCCTGGACATCAATGACAACATCCCCACCCTGGAAAAATCTGAGGTACACAACACACAACACAACCACACACACACACACACACACACACACACACACACACACACACACACACACACACACACCACACACACACACACACACACACACGCACACACGCACGCACACACGCACACAACACTTCCATTACATCCTTACGTTCTCAGGCACCTTGCTGCATTTCTTCAATGACCTTTTAAGGGTACATCCACAAACCAGGATGCGGATGTAGTGTTGAACACATGGTTAACGCTGTACATGTATACAAAAAAAAGAATGCAACAAACGACTTTGGATGTTTTGATTTGTTTTGCTCAAAGTGCATTTACTCAAGTACTGTACTTAAGTACAATTTGGAGATACTTGAGTATTTACATTTTATGCAACCTTGTACTTCTACTCCACTACATTTATTTAATACCTTTAGTTACTTTGCAGATTCGGATTAATGATGTGAAATATAATCAACTCTTAAATAAGGACCTTGGAATGTGCCCAGAGTAAATCACAAGCTACCCTGCAGTATACAAAGTCATTCAAACTAGCTGCACCCTTACCAGCTTTGATAACACTTTAATGATCAATCATTATAAAACATATCATAATATATTATTCTGAAATGGACCAATCTGCACAATGACTACTTTACTGTCGCTACTTTTCACTATATTTTTGATGATAATACTTTTTCTATTACTTTCACTTGAGGAACATTTTGAATGCAGGGACTTTTACTGAAACAGAGTATTCCTACACTCTGGTAGTCTACTTTTACTCAGGTACAATATCTATACGTTTTTCCACCTCTGCTCAAAATAAGTATATATGTTACCTTATTTCAGTTTTGGATGCCTAGGTAAAAGCAGACTTTAATGGACTTTGGTTGTAAAGCAATTGGTTGGAAAGTGAGGAATGCAAACCTGCAGTCTTTCTGCAAGAGGTGATGCTACTTGTTTCAAAAATAAGTTTGATTGTGTAGGAGTCTATAAGACAGTGAGCCTACTTGATGTATTACCTCTTTTAAAAAATAAGTCTAAAATGTGGGCTCTGATCTCACAAAATGCAACTGCATATGGAACAGAGTGCTCCGTAAACCCACAGCCAGACACCAGTTGTTGTGTATTTAGCAGGAAGAGAACATTAATAAAGCACGGGACAGAGGATATGGGTACTAGTTTCTTTAACTGTTACTCATGCTTAACCACCACAGCATCAACTCCCGGGCATACACTTATTCTCTAACATTGTATGTTACTGTGGTTACACTGTGCCCCCTATTGGCAGGAGTATATAGATATATACACAACAACCAGCAAGCGTTTATTTTGGCTATATTGTTGGTCAGCTTGGGGAGGGTGTTCTTCTCGACTGTTTACAGCAGCCGCACTGGATTTTGAAAACCACAGAGGCTGGCAATCGTTTAAGCACGCTCCTGAAGTGTGTGCTTTAAAGCTGGGGCAATGACTATCAGTCATATACACAAAATGTTTACGGAACAAGATGGTCTTAAGCTACCACTTAATGTTTGTCTCAAGTGCATCAGATCTTTAAAATGAAACTTTTCTTTAATTATTCCTGTCATTTTTAAAAAACTGCGACACAAAGCCTATTGCAGAAAAAGTTATATAGCAAGTGAGGTGTGAGAGGCAGATATTAAGAGGGAGAGAGAACAAAGGGAAGAGGATATAGAGATGAATGAAAAGAGAGATGGTGTCTGTCGTGTGACATGTTACCTTTACTTTAACGATTAACTAATTCATTCATTTTCCAGACAATTTGGGATAATTTTAGCCTTTTTGCAGGTCCAGATTATAATGTTGATTTTTCAATTGATAATTTAACTCAGTTGAATCTGAAGACTTAGGCGCATGGTGAAGACATGGTGAAGCTCTTGGTGCAATCCTTGTTGGTCCAAACAGTCCGGAAGCCATCAATGGAAAAGTGGTAGTCAGATATATCCTGGTCTGTGCATAAGGTGCAGCCATGTTCTCATAGAGCACATTCAAGTGTGATGCCACTGCTACTCGGCTGAAGGGTTAAAGTATGGAGCAACAGATAAAAACTAGTTACATTAATGCATATTCAATTTAATGTTCAAAAGACTATTTTTGATTGACAGGGTACAGGTACGATCAGTGGTGGGACTTTCTGGCACAAGTACTGAATTGATTTTAATTAGTAATGACTTTTTATCTATCTGTAATTATTAGTGCTGAGCAACAATAAAGCAATTTAATCGCGATTAATCGCATGATTTTCTGCGATTAATCACATTGTTATGTACAAAACAAAAGTCATGCATTGCAAACTTTTATTTTAAAAGTACTGCTATACACGCAATAACATTTGGTCTGCAAACACTTCAAACAAATAAGGTACGTTTTTAACAGTAGTATTCCCTTTACACAGTAGCAGTTAAAAAATGTCTTGTAAATCTCAACTTTCAACATTAATTAGTGTAAACAAATCAAATATCAAACCAAAGCTATTTGCCACTGCAAGGGCATTAACATTGTATCTAGTTTGTTATACAGTAGAAGTTACCCTCAGTGATCAGAAAATACTTTGCAGTGGTTACACAATACCTCTGGTTCTATCAACTCCTGCCGTCTGGAAGAGATGTAAAATGTCCATGTAAGAGTTCGGTACCTTTCTCCATGTTTCTGTCCCGCCAGCCCTAGTGAATATACAACTGAATGTGTAATACGTACATTTCCTCAAGGCTCCTGGGGCCTTTATTCTTTAACATCTACAAGCTAATGTGACATTTTAACTGAACTTTAAAAGTAACATCAAGAAGGCTAGTGTCCCAAGGGTCAAGTCAAGGGTTCAATTACTTTTCTTATTCTCAGCACTGAATCTTAACATCTGCCCACATTATGAGAAGCAGGCAGCGTTCAGTTTGTATGCAACAGATATCTGATACTTCATCCTCGGGGCTGTTTAGTAAAAGTCTAGTGCTGACAAGTCCACTGCACTTAATTCAGTCCCCCACACCTCCTTTTGTTATGTTTGATGAATGTATCTCTTTCATTATTCATTCGTGCTCCTCAAATGAAGACAAAAAAGACAAAAGTATAGCGATGTTAAAACATAGCTACTGGCCTCTGCAACTATGATGAGACACATGGTAACATGTAGTTCAAAAAAGACTTTCCTTGGAAACCTGAGAGTCGCCGGTTCAAGTCCCCAAATGGACCACGTACAGACTGGTGCACTTTAGCAAGCAACAGTTAAAAGACCAGGCGATCGTGAACTGGCCTCTTTACCCCAAACCCTATCGGTGCCTTTACTTCTGAACAGTAGATGCTTTGATGATAACTGGAAACATCAAGCAAAAAACACCAGTTTTGTAAACAGAATAGACACATAGCTGACAGTAAGACTTTGACACATACTGTTGATCTAATTTTTCGAATCATATTTTCTGTTTGCAGTACGATGGGGAAGTGGAGGAAAATGTTGCCGATGTAGTTGTGATGAGAATCAAAGCTCTGGATAAAGACCTTCAACACTCAGACAACTGGCTGACTGTCTTCGAAATCGCCAAAGGAAATGAGGATAACATATTTTCAATTGAGACGGACAAGGAAACCAATGAGGGCGTCTTGAAGCTGATTAAGGTATTTATGTGACTTTAACACCATTGTACTTTATTTATCACACTTACTGTAACAAGTGTTGAGTGGTGCCCTAACATTTGCTTGCTGCATCGTATCTGTTCTTGTCCCCTCACTCAATTGCTTTTTACTCTCCAATCCGGTCCAAACAGGCTGTGGATTTTGAAGATGTCCAGAATCTTAAGCTTGGCCTGATCATTACGAATGTAGCTCCTTTTGTGAGGGGTGGTGCTATATTAATGGATGTGGAGGTCAAGATTGGAGAGGGTAATCCTATGGCTGCTGGAGCGGGTGCTGGAGGTGGAGGTGGAGGTGGAGGTGGAGGTGGAGGCGGCGGCGGCGGAGGCGGCGGAGGCGGCGGCGGCGGCGGTGGAGGTGGAGGTGGAGGCGGAGGCGGAGGCGGAGGCGAAGGCGAAGGCGAAGGCGAAGGCGAAGGCGAAGGCGACGGCGAAGGCGACGGCGAAGGCGACGGCGAAGGCGACGGCGAAGGCGAAGGTGTAGGTGGAGGTGGAGGTGTTGGGGTTGGGGTTGGGGTTGGGGTTGGGGTTGGGGTTGGGGTTGGAGTGGGTGTCGGTATTAAGCCAGGTGTCAAACCAGGAACAAAGCCTGAGCCAAAGAGCTATCCCATTAAGATAGCAGTGAAAAACATTCCAGAGGATCCAGCATTCATTCCAACCACCAAGAATGTTCCTGTATCAGAAGATCCAAATGAAGCACCTGAAGATGGAGTGATCACAGTGTTTGCTGCTGTCGATCCAGACACAGGGCTACCAGCTGAAGATGTCAAGTAAGTCATGCTGCAGGAAACATTACTTTACTTTTACCACAAATGTACCATGTTCACCATCTTAGTTTAGCAATTTAGCATGCTCAAATGTGAGTTATTTGCTTTACAATCACCCAATTAACATTTTGACTTGGTGATGATGACCCAATAGTTTTCAAACCATACCACTCAAAACGAAGTCTATCAAACTAATGGTGGCGTTATATGATAAGTAAGGGGATGACCACATTAATGCTTAGTTCGGAACAAAGACTTGCATAAAAACGTGTTAAAATGTGCAGCAGCTTGCAATTCTTATGTGCTGCAGCTTTCTGAAACATTAAACACGCTAATGCGACAAGACAAGAAGCTTCAGTTTTTCTGTAGCTGGATATCATTTGTTCCATCAAGACAAATTGTTGAAGTGAATATCCTTTTCCTCTGCCATTTCTACCGTCTCAGAGGTTCTATTTGACTTGACCAGTTGACTTCCCTATGTCCTTAGTTTAGCTAGTTGTCTCCTAGTGTTAGCTTCATACTCACAACATAATTCTCATCAATAAAGTGATTACGTGTTTTTCCCCAAATGTTGAAAGTATTACTTTAACCAAATTCTTCTTCTCCTTCTTTGGTTTACTGTATATTACTTATGATAATGTTTTTGGTTTTTTTCCAACTAATTTTTTTCCTAGTTATGCCAAAGCCTTTGATCCAGAAAACTGGTTTACCATCGATGAAAAAACAGCTGAGATTAAACTCAACAAGGTACCAGACAGAGAGTCACCTTTTGTGGTGAATGGTACCTACATTGCCAAGATCCTGGTGATCACAGATGGTAATCCCCTATTTACTTCATAGTCGTGTTGGCTTCTTGATTCATTTCTGTTTGAATAGGCGCTGTCTTTCCGTACTGAAGGACTCTCAATAACTCAACAAAACAGACCTCCATAAAAAATACTGCAGACATTATTAATATAAATATGGAATTATACTAGGACGTTAAGGTTTTCTCCAATGTACAATGCCTTGTTTTTGTATGCTGCTGCAACGCAAACATTTCCCAAATTGGGATCAATAAAGTACTTCTTATTTGATATTATAATATGCTGTTATGCACTCCAGTCTTTGTGCTGTTGGATTTACCAAACTGTTGTCATCCTCAGACAGGCCATCAAAGACCGCCACAGGAACAATAGCCATTCAAGTCCTTGACTCCAACGACCACTGTCCCACTCTGACCACCACCCACAGCACCCAGTGCACTGATGAAACAACTGTCTATGTTACTGCATTTGATGAGGATGTTGATCCCAACGGAGCTCCATTCACATTCAGAGTCATACCTGATGGGACACGAGGGAGCTGGGACGTAGAAGTCGTCAATAGTAAGAAAAAGTGGTTGATACAAACGATTTTCTTTCTTTTAGCATTATTTGTGATTTGTGTGGTTATATTCTTTTAGTACCACTACACTGTAATATTACTGAGGTTACAAGCTAAAGTAATAATGATAATACTATGTTATTTGACAGTGCTTTTTCCTTTGTTGTCAACAGAGACGAGTGCCGCGCTTCACTCTCATGATCCACTCTGGCCTGGCTTATATGAGGTTCAGGTGGAGGTGTTGGATGCTCAAGGTCTTTCTTGCCCATCCAATGAAATTTTTACCGTGGACGTTTGTACCTGTGTGGAGACAAAAGACTGCAAGATAAAGGCAGCCAAATTAGAAACTACTTCAACCGAGCTCTCTGCCCCAGCTATCAGCCTCCTGCTATCGGCAATGTGCTTATTGCTGTGTAAGTTGATCTTTAACAAATGCCTACAGTACACCTTATTAGGGATTATTACGGATGGGTCGATAACACTATTTAATGTCTGATACCTTTACCATAAGTGCCTTCTTAATCAAAAAACAATCCAATAGTCCTTTATTTCTCAAACTAAGTGCAGTGCTAGTTTTTAAGCAAGCTAGTAAATGTATTCAGGCCCAGACTGGCCATCAGGAGGACCGGGAGGTTTCCCGATGGCCAGTCTGTTGAGTGGCCTGCTGTATTGTGAACGAAACGCTGCGCAAATGTGGGTCTGCCTCACACAGGGTGCGTCTGTCTATGATGTGGCCTGCCGACAGGGCCGTCCCTCCCTACAGGGTGATGGGAGAGGGGGGAGAGGGGAAGGGAGAGGAGGGAGGGACAGGAGAGGCTGGTTCAGGAGCCCAGACACACTCACAACTATAAATGAACCAAAAATAAATAAATAAACAACTTTCAGTGTTTTTTCATATTGGATATGGGATGTTATTGGTTATGATTTTATGATTATTGAAGAAGAAGAAGAATATGAAGGGATGAAACCCTCTGTAATGGTCTCACATGCAGAGCACACAGCACACAGTGAAATGTGTTCTCTGCTTTGAACCCATCCTAGTGCCAGGAGTCTAGTACTAGGAGCAGTGGGCAGCTATTGTACAGCGCCATGGGAGCAATGGGAGTGAGGGGGAAGGGGGGTGTCCGGTGCCTTGCTCAAGGGCAAGAAATGTATACAGTTCTGTTTCATATGGGTGTTCCCATAGATCTAGTCTCTTTATTTTCCCCTCAAAGTGCACCAGATTGATGCATTTAAAAAAACATCTTACCGGGGGAGCATGCCCCCGGACCCCCCTAGAGGATTTGAGGTCCACCCCCACTTAAAACATGTTCACATGTTCCCAAATACATTTGCACATTTTTTTAAATAGTAACCCCTGTCCATATGTTTATTATTGGGTAGATTTAAACTATAGGGCTATCACTATGGGCAGCACCGCTGTAAATATTCACAAATAAATCCATCAAAATGGCACAAAAGAAACTGGTAGTGGCCGGGTGTTTAATTCCCGGCCTGACTTATTGTCCCAGTCCGGCCCTGAATGTATTTAATGAAAATCAAACCATTATGCATTGAATTACAAGAAAAACGTACTGACAGTGTGATTTATATACAAGGGGGCATACATTCATCAGTGGTGGTGTGATGTATTGGACTGAATAACATCATTTAATAAGTGCCCCAAATAAGTATGGCTAAAAAAAATGATATGAGAGTTACTCCCAATTCACAACTCTGTTTTTAGATGTATTCTTAACACTCTTGTATGAATAACATTGCCAATATTAAATACTCTGTGTCTCTTGAAATATTAAGATCTTGGAATAATTGTAAAAAAAACCTTTGAGCTCAACTGAACTTGGCTTAACATTGAACTGCATGTTGTGCTTCTCTCTGCAGTTATTCCTCTTCTCATGCTGTTCTGTCAGTGTGGAGCAGAACTTTTTCCTGACAGTTTTCTTGACATGCCATGGGAGACCAAAGAACAACTCATATCTTACCACACTGAAGGCAGAGGCGAGGATAAGGTTCGCTTGCAATGTTGTTGTTTTTTATTGGGAAGAAAAGTATACATTAACTTCTTATTTTTAGTTTATCAATACAGAGAATCAGACAATATCCTAATATTATTGAAAATTAAAGTCTGTATAGAGATCAAGAGGTAATGTTGGTGAAAGAAAGCAGTGTAGTGGGTCAATGGGATATAAGATCAGTTACTCCTGTTACCACAGGGACACACAGGAAGGTTTAATATTGATAAACCTGTATGCGTTTCTGAGATAACATTGTCATTCTCCTGTTCTTTTTTTAGGAAATGCCACTCCATAGTATAACTGTATCATTGGGTCCCCAAAAGACATTTGGGACAGCACAAGGATCAAATTCCAAAGGCACTATTACAAATACTATAAAAATAACCAGACAACTACAATCCATGATGAATTTTTGGAAGGTTTCAGGACACCAGCCAAAGTTGGATGGAGGTCGACAACAACGCTCACAGGGATTTTGGCTATGGTTATGGCAGTGCAACAATCAGCAGAAACACACACAACACACGACAGCTCACCTAACAGCTCTCTATGAGGATATAGCCTTACCTGACGCTTTTCCTGAATGATTACTACTCACAGGTACGTTGTTAGCCTTGCATTCAGCTGTTTTTTTTCTTTTACAGAATTTCATCACCTTTAAAGAAATGTTCCGAAATTCTTGACACCAGTGTCTGTGCTATTCCTTTACCTTAACAGAAAGCGATGTGTGCTTTGCCTGCGAAGGACTGTTCTTTGGAGTATCATTTTGAGGGCCAGGGATCCTCTGCTGGATCTGTGGGCAGCTTCAGCCTCCTGGAAACTAACAACGACCTGCAATTCCTTGATGACCTTGGGCCAAAGTTCAAGACTCTGTCTGATATCTGCTCCCCCTAAACCAACACCCCAAACCTTCCCTGACACACAAAATAGTAGGTGCTGTCCAAACCACAGTAAAATAAGGTTTGAACCTGTTGTTATGCCCAAAGTTGAGCGAAGCGTTGAAACAGATCATACTGATGTCAAGAAAGAGACAGTCTTGTCATCTACTAACATCTCCAAATCATTCCGTCAATACTGTAAGCAATGCCCATCAATCCATGACACTTCCTAACTCTAAGGTTACTAACATCAGTCATATTCCACCACACTCTGCCCCATCAAGCTCATCATCTGCCAATCTGTCCCATCTAGCTCGTACAGTTTTCATACAGCCGCAGCCAGTTTATTACGCCACCAACCCTGTACTACAGCCCATGCACTATGTAGTTCAACCACAGCTACAGAACACGGTTATGCTAGCAGAGGGGTCCCATGGAGCTAATTTTCCAGGCTTGTATGTAGTCAGGTGGGCCCAATGCTCTCCTCCTGGGCTAGTGATTCAGGGCATTGAGGGCCCAAAAAGCCCTGCCAGTCCAGTTAGCCCCACCTTCTTTCTACCTGGTAGTCCAGGTGTGTCAACAGGCTCAGGCCCTGCAAAGGGTTGGAAAATGATAGGGCCAAATCCCGATGGTCAATACATTTAGTTAAAGATAAGAGTAGACCAGATGATGCAGGTGAGGTTGACCCAGGCTCGTCTCAGGGCAATTTGCCCAGAGGTGCAATCCTGGTAAAAGAGGCTGCTCCCCCTCAGGGGAGTGTGCATGGCCTTCTGCCAGGACACACTGTTGCAAAGAGGGGGGGTGCTGTCGGGCAAACATGGGTTGGGCAGCCAGGAGTGATGGGGTTAGTGCCGGTAACAGCTTTTGGAATTGGTGTTGGGAAACCAGGAATGGGAATGGCTGTGGAAACCAGAAGTCAGACAGGTTGGAATGTGGCAACCTGGGATGACTCAAGTTGGCATTAGGCAGGTCAGTACAAACCAGTACCAAGAAACTACGCAGTTGCAGCAAACAGCAGATACCAGTGGTATTCTAAAAGCATCAAGAATTAATTCACCAAAGGAAGACAAGACTACAGCAGTTGTAAATACCATCATTTCAGCTGAAAATCAGTTGAAGGATCCAGTTCAGAACATGAATTATGACATTGTTGAGGAAAAGCACGATGTCCCCTACATATCAATGCCTCTCGAGACAACACTTGATGATGAGGATCCTGGTAGGATGGTCCAAACTGCATTTGAAGACAAATTGGGTATCCAACAATGTCCTACACAAACATCAGAAACAGCTCCCACAGAATCCAATGTCCCACAACAAAACTCAGTGGAATCAGAACAGCAGGAAAAATCATGTTCCTGCTAAAGGTTTTTCAGAGGAAAATATATCACTGGTCAATCAAATGTCGACCACAGAAGTGTGCCAACCTGGATCAGATGTCATTGATTTAGTTAATACAGGCAGAGAGAGTATAGAGATATCAACAATTCCTCAAGGAGAGGGATCCACATCTACTTTAGAACACATCAACATTGTAGACGATCAAATACAAGATATCTCAGAAGTCAAAGTAGACAGTCAAGAGTCATTGAAAGTGGTAAAAGAAGGACAAGCTGTTCATCTCACCATAGTTGAAGGTCTAGAGGACAAAAGTCAGGAAGTTGGGTCAGAAGCTCAATTAGATGATGTGACAGAGGACCAAATGGACAGGGATCTGGAGGAAGATGTCAGTCCAGCACAGAACGTTGTGTCAGACATAGAAACAAAGCAGGTAAATGCCACCTCTAATAGTATCCAGGGGGAAGTGAATATGGAGTGGAAATGACTGCAGATGGTGTTATCACAGTCAGTGATTCACATGCAGACGTAAAGGCTCAGGAAGAGCAAACTGCTGGATTCTGATGTAGGACTCGATAGTATGCATGACAAATTGTCAGCAACTCTTCCAAACATGTTTTCAAAAGTGACTTTGAATGCATCTGAAGTTAAGTTGAACCTCGACCCAGAGTCAATGCCAGAACCACAGTTTGGTCAAAGTGAATGGACTATGACAGACAGAGGTAATGAAGAGACAGATAGTGCTGATGAAGCAATAACATCATCGCAAACTGTCAGCACTATTATCCTTGGTGATTCAAATCTGACATCAGCCACAGAAGAAATAACCACCCGAGTGCAAGAAGAGGTGTCTAATGGGTCAACCATGCCAACATTAGAGCAACACATGCATACAGCAAAAGACAATGGCTGTGGCCACCAAGAAGAAGAAAGTGGTACAGATGAAGTCAATGCAGATGCAGACAGTATGGAGAGAAGTGATGGAGAGAAAGAGAGTATTCTGGAGGAAGGAGTGCCACAGCAGAGTTGTAGCACCTCTGGTAACCTAGATGAAGACACTGGAAGACAAGATGCTTTCAGTTCTCAAATGGAAGATAACGACAGTGTTGATGAAGAGAAAGGTGAAGATTCTGTTGAAGCAATGGTGTCACCAGTACATCAACATTTCAAACACTCAGATGACCAAGGTGAAGGGAATGCAACATGCATGAGTTCTCCAGAGGATCATAACTTAATCTCAGATGATAACATAAATGTTCCAGAGCAAGAGGAGGAGAGTTTTGAAGAAGGGGTGTTATCCATACACGAAAATGTTAGCATCACAGAACCCCAAGCTGCATTTGTTGAAGGAGAAGCTGTATCAGGAAGAAGACCTTTGGAGGATCCTTTTATCTCAGAATACAACAATGCTGTGGAGGAAGAGCTCTCAACTGCACATCACATGTCTTCCATCTCAAGATGAAGACCGTGTACAAGAAGATGCAATCGAACGCTGTTCAAGTAGAGGATAAGCTAAGCTCAGGTGGCAGTGATGGAGAGGAAGAAGAGGAACCGGCCCCCTTCATACAACAAGACAGTCGTTGTTCTGATGACCAAGAAGAAGAGAATGGAAGCGTAGACGCACCAGACACAAGTATTTACGTAGAGGACGAGAGCAGTAAGTTGAACCAGCAATTAGAAGACAGCTCTCTGTCTTGTCCCACTGAATGCTTATCTGAGGATCATTTGTATTTAGCAAGTCAAAATGCAGAGATGAATCCGTTGCCAGCTTCGTCAGAGGTGGGTAACACTCTAGAAATACCTTGTGAAGTTACTACACATCAAGTCAGGCAAGGGGTGGACTCTTCTCAGGTAGGAGACATAGCGTTGGATATTCCTGATAGAGAAGATACTATTGGTCAGGCGTTAGAGAAGCATACTAATATGGATCATTTTGATTCTCCTGTTATATCTTCTGAGGGAATGAGATCTTCCAGGGTTGCAACAGCACAGGTTTCTATGTCCAGTGAAGATAAAGAGGCCAAAGTTCAAATGTTTGAATCTGGAGATATCGCTTTGGAAAAAGGCATGGCAGAGGTCACTATTGATTTCGCGATTAGGGAGGGATTTGATGACAGTGCAACTGGTGCATCTGCTCAGGTAGCACCAACATCTTATTCAGAAATGAAAGTGGTAGAGAAGACCCTATCTTCAGACCTAGACTCAGACCTAGAATCAGACCTAGACTCAGACCTAGACTCAGGAGAGGTAGATGAGGAGGCTGGTAACCTCGTTCAGAATGAAGTAACTGGAGAAACAACAACTCTGATGGACGATGTGTCAAGAGCTTCTGATGACACGCATGGGGCTGAAGCAAGTGATGTTGAAGTGAGTCCTGTACAGCTCCAGACAGTCATGAGCCCAATTCCTCGTAACAAATCAAGAAAGAGCAAAGAGGATTCTAAGAAGAATCCTAAAAGTCCAAAAAGCCCCTCTGGAAAGTGTAAACAACAGTGAGTACTCTGAATTCAATGTTGCATTATCAACTATACAGAGACCCATACCGTTATATGTAGATGTCTGTTTGAGGTCCAAATGGGTGAAGAAGAGGGAGGTGCAACAATATTTAGGATTTTCTGTCTTTAAGGCCAAAATTGTTGTTTAATACCAAAATATGAACCTGCTACGTTGTTGCAAAAGCAAGCTGTGTCACGTCGCGCATCTTCAACACACTACCCAGGTGCCCACCCCCCTTACTTAATCAGAACAGAGTTTTATCAGTTTGGTGAGTACGTGTCAAACAGAGACAATTGCTAGAGTGTGTGTAAAAGGGAACTTTATATTTTGCTAGGGTGAGGGGGTTAACCAACTCTGAGGGGGTGAGGGGGTTAACCAACGTAACTTTCGGTTACAAGTAATTTGGTAAATGGATTGCATACATTAGTGCTGTCTGTAAGAACAAACCTTGTTGTTCGGATGTTTTGTTTAAAGTTTAAACTAGCATAAAATGGAAATTCTCAAGTAAAGTAAGTGACTCAAAACTGTACAGAAAGCTACTTGAGTGAATATATTTGCTACTGTCCAACACTGATACTAACCATGACCAACCACAACCATCATTCTTAGATCCCATTTTATTATTGTATTACAGCATTGTTGTATTTTTAATGCAAGGCTCTCATTTGTGCATGCAGAGCTGAAATTCTCCTTTGCGAGGCTTCTCTTTGAGTTAGAATAAAATGCCATTGCCTGTTTTTTTTGTGAGATAGTTTTCAAATTAAATAAATCCCATATCTTCCATTTTGTATATTTTATTATCTAGTTTTTTCTTCACTATATAACCATGTTTTTATTGAAGCCATCTCTTCTAACATTCTTTGAGCTGAATGCAAATGTGAACAAGTAGCAGCACCTATTTAACTAGTTAAAACATAAGAAACCAAGCTGGATTTATGAGCATATTTTTCCGCATCTGCCTTTAGGAATAAGTGTGTGGAAGGTTTTTGGTGATTTGATCTATAAATACATTATTCAGAACAAATATTCAATGTATATTTTTTTATATAATTTGTGATTCTTGGATACTGTCATCATTGCCTTTAAGTAAGTCAGTTTGATATTACCATATGGTGTAATGTATACAGTAAAACATTGGTGAAATGTGGGTTTTCTAAATACTCTGATTTTTGTGTAATAAAG